CCGGCACCCACTGCAGCAGGGCTTTGGTTTTGCGGGCGGGGTCGTCGGGCCGGAAATTCTTGAACTCGTGCACGTCCTTCTCGAGCGAGAGCAGCTGGCTCTGCAGCTTGCTGCGCAGCGACGGCAGCGACTCCCGGATGTGGTTGGTGAGTTGCTGCAGGGGGAGAGCGGGAAAATGCGGAAAATCCGGGGTTTATAGGGAAAATCGGGATGGGAAATGGGGAAAATCCCGGTTTTATAGGGAAAATCGGGATGGGAAATGGGGAAAATCCGGGTTTTATAGGGAAAATAGGGATGGGAAATGGGGGAAATCCGGGTTTTATAGGGAAAATTGGGATGGGAAATGGGAATATTCCTGGTTTTATAGGAGAAATTGGGATGGGAAATGGGAATATTCCCGGTTTTATAGGGAAATTGGGATGGGAAATGGGGAAATTGATGGTTTTATAGGGAAAATCGGGATGGGAAATGGGGAAATTGATGGTTTTATAGGGAAATTGGGATGGGAAATGGGAATATTCCCGGGTTTTATAGGGAAATTGGGATGGGAAATGGGAATATTCCTGGTTTTATAGGGAAATTGGGATGGGAAATGGGAATATTCCCGGTTTTCCTGGTTAAACTGAGCCAGGAAATGGGAAATTCCATTTTTCCAGGCAGGAATGGATCAGGAAGGGGCTGTCTCACCTGGCTGAGCACTCTACAGGTGAGGGGGGTGTGTCTCAGGTGTGTCAGGTGTGTCTCAGGTGTGTCTCAGGTGTGTCAGGTGTGTCAGGGGTGTCTCAGGGGTGTCTCAGGGGTGTCAGGTGTGTCTCAGGTGTGTCTCAGGCGTGTGTCAGGTATCTCAGGTGTATCTCAGATGTCTCAGGTGTGTCAGGTGTATCTCAGGTGTGTCAGGTGTGTCTCAGGTGTATCTCAGGTGTGTCTCAGGTGTATCTCAGGTGTGTCTCAGGTGTCTCAGGTGTATCTCAGGTGTATCTCAGGTGTATCCCAGGTGTGTCAGGTGTGTCTCAGGTGTGTCAGGTGTGTCTCAGGTGTATCCCAGGTGTGTCAGGTGTGTCTCAGGTGTGTCTCAGGTGTGTCAGCTGTATCTCAGGTGTGTCAGGTGTGTCTCAGGTGTGTCAGGTGTATCTCAGGTGTGTCAGGTGTGTCTCAGGTGTGTCAGGTGTGTCTCAGGTGTGTCTCAGCTGTATCTCAGGTGTGTCAGGTGTGTCTCACCTGGTTGAGCACCCTCTGCAGGTGTGGCGTGCCCATGCGCTCGGCCATGTGTCTGTAGGCCGGGTGGGACAGGAAGAATTTGCGCTCGGCCGCCAGCGCGGCGCGGATGTCCTTGCGGCCATCGATGTCCTTCTGGCTCCTGTTCACCACCCCAATGTACCCTGGGGACACAAATGGGGACACTGGGGACACTGGGACACACTGGGGACACACTGGGGACACACTGGGACACACTGGGACACACTGGGGACACTGGGGACACTGGGACACACTGGGGACACACTGGGGACANACACACTGGGGACACACTGGGGACAGGGATGTCCTTGCGGCCATCGATGTCCTTCTGGCTCCTGTTCACCACCCCAATGTACCCTAAAATAGAAATGGGGACACTGGGGACACTGGGGACACACTGGGGACACTGGGACACACTGGGACACACTGGGACACACTGGGGGGACACTGGGGACACACTGGGGGGACACTGGGGACACTGGGACACACTGGGACACACTGGGGACACAGGTGTGACACACCTCTCCTGAGGGGCAGCAGTTTGACACAGTGACATACACAGGTGACACACAGGTGTGACACACAGGTGTGACACACAGGTGTGACACACAGGTGTGACACACAGGTGACACACACCTCTCCTGAGGGGCAGCAGTTTGTTCTCCAGCACGTCCCTGGCGTCGGTGCCTTCGTCCATCAGGTCCAGCTTGGTGATGACCCCGATGGTCCTCAGGCCTGGGGGGGACAGGGTTAATTAATTAATGACACTGATGGTTAATGATGTTTAATGATGGTTAATGATGTTTAATGATGTTTAATGATGTTTATTGATGTTTATTATTGTTTACTGCTGTTTATTTTTGGTTTTTGCTGTTTTTTGCAGTTTCTTTTTGGTTTTTTGCTTTTTTTTTCATTTTTTCATTTTTTTAAAATTTTTTTGCATTCTCTTGCATTTTTTGGGGTGTTTTTTGCAATTTTTTTGCAATTTTTCTTTGCAATCTTTTGCATTCTTTTGCCTTTTTTGCAATTTTTTTGCATTTTTTTGCCTTCGCCTTTTTTTGCATTCTTTTGCCCTTTTTTGCCTTTTTTTTGCATTGCTTTGCCTTTTTTTGCATTCTTTTGCCTTTTTTTCATTTCTTTGCCTTTTTTGCCATTTTTTGACTTTTTTTGCATTGCTTTGCCTTTTTTTGCATTTCTTTTGCCATTTTTTGCCTTTTTTCCCTTTTTTGCATTCTTTTGCCATTTTTTTCCCATTTTTTTGCCTTTTTTCCCTTTTTTGCATTCTTTTGCCTTCTTTTTGCCTTTTTTCCCTTTTTTTTGCCTTTTTTCCCTTTTTTTGCATTCTTTTGCCATTTTTTTCCCATTTTTTCCCCATCCTTTCCCCATTCTTTTCCCTTCTTTCCCACCCTCTCACCTCCTCTTCCCGTTTTTTTTTTTTCCCCTTTTCCCCTCCCTCACCCTGTGGATCCACCTCCTTGGCCATCTTGAGGGCGTCCGAGTTGGCCAGGTCCACGTTGGCCGGGGTGACGGCCAGGATGAGGCTGCTCTCCCTGCAGATGAACTGCAGGATCATGTCCCGGATCTGCTGCTCGATGTCGGGGGGCTGGTCCCCCACGGGCACCTTGGTGATGCCAGGGAGGTCGATCAGAGTCAGGTTCAGCACTGTGGGACACGGGGAACAGGGGGTTAATTAATTGGAAATTCATCAATCACAGAGTCAGGTTCAGCACTGTGGGATACGGGGAATTAATTAGAAATTAATTAATCGGGAATTCGTTAATCACAGAGTCAGGCTCAGCACTGCGGGACACGGGGAATTAATTGGAAATTTGTTAATTGGGTATTCGTTAATCGGGGATTTGTCAATTGGGGACTCGTCAATGACAGAGTCAGGTTCAGCACTGCGGGACACGGGGAATTAATTGGAAATTAATTAATCGGGGATTCGTTAATCGTGAATTCATCAATCGGGGACTCGTCAATCACAGAGTCAGGTTCAGCACTGTGGGATACGGGGAACAGGGGGTTAATTAATTAAAAATTCATTAATCGGGAATTCATCAATCGGGAATTCATCAATCACAGAGTCAGGTTCAGCACTGTGGGACACGGGGAATTAATTAGAAATTAATTAATCGGGAATTCGTTAATCACAGAGTCAGGTTCAGCACTGTGGGACACGGGGAACAGAGGGTTAATTAATCGGGAATTCATTAATCGGGAATTCATTAATCGGGAATTCATTAATTGGGAATTCATTAATTGGGAATTCATCAATCAGGAATTCATCAATCACAGAGTCAGGTTCAGCACTGCGGGACACGGGGAATTAATTGGAAATTTGTTAATTGGGTATTCGTTAATCGGGGATTTGTCAATTGGGGATTCGTCACAGAGTCAGGTTCAGCACTGTGGGACACGGGGAACAGGGGGTTAATTAATCGGGAATTCATTAATTGGGAATTCATCAATCTCAGAGTCAGGTTCAGCACTGTGGGATACGGGGAACAGGGGGTTAATTAATTGGAAATTCATCAATCTCAGAGTCAGGTTCAGCACTGCGGGACACGGGGAATTAATTGGAAATTTGTTAATCGGGTATTCGTTAATCGGGGATTTGTCAATCGGGGACTCGTCAATAACAGAGTCAGGTTCAGCACTGTGGGACACGGGGAACAGGGGGTTAATTAATTGGAAATTCATCAATCACAGAGTCAGGTTCAGCACTGCAGGACACAGGGAATTAATTAGAAATTAATTAATCGGGGATTCGTTAATCGGGAATTCATCAATCAGGGACTCATCAATCACAGAGTCAGGTTCAGCACTGTGGGACACGGGGAATTAATCAGAAATTCATTAATTGGGAATTCATCAATCGGGAATTCATCAATCACAGAGTCAGGTTCAGCACTGT